AATGGGGCAAAATGCACTTAACAACTTCCATTTGGGCCTCAGTTGTAGACTTTAAGTTGGGAAGTACCTGTACATAAAGCAGGAAGAAATCTCACAGGTATCTCTGGTTCAGCACTTGTTTTTCTCTTCTATGTTATCCCCAGACCCCACCACAGGTCCACGGGCCTAAAAGAATTACTGCAGCCTTGGCTAGAGTTTAAAGATACAGTGAACCAGGGGTGGGATTCAAAAATCCAAGCAACCGGTTCTCTGCCCAGTTGCTGGGTGGGCATGGCCATGGTGGGCGTGACCTACCGAAACTTCCCCAGAGTCCGGAGGCTTCCCTTGGGCCTCTGGGATGGTGAAAAGGGCCTCCCCTAGGCTCTGGAAGCTGGAAACAGGCCTGTTTCCGGACTTCCGGAACTTCCAATTCAGCCCGTTTTTCGCTCTCCCAGACCCTCTGTGTGGATCTTGCACTTACCTGCATCCAAAACAGGCCACGTGGAGACTCCTGGGAGGGGAGGGGCACAGTGGGTAAGGCCAGCCAGTCAGTTCAACTACCAGTTCTGCAAACCAGATGTAAATGTAACACCCGGTTCACTCAAACCGGCTGAATCCCACCCTTGCAGTTAACCAGCTCATTGCTACCTGCACACCAATGTTCTATTAATCACAATCTTCTGGTTCCTGCTTCACGTTTGCTATGGCAGCAGATAGTGGGATGAAGCCGATGAGAGCATACCATTGTCATCGTCAATGATAGCTTTTTCATTTTTGCTGGTGGTTTTTCTTTTTTTCTGACTCCTGGTTTACAACACTTTTAGTTATGTTTTGCGTTGTGTAAGCCACCCCTGCTTTCGCATTGTGGTGCTGGAGAAGACTTGAGAGATCAAGGAGAGTCAAGGAGATTCAATCAGCCAAGCCTAAAGGAAATGAAAACACTGGCTGTTCTTTGGAAAGAGAGATCCTGAAGGTTGAAGCTCAAATACTTTGGCCAACAAATGAGAAGAGAGGACTCCTTGGAAAGGACCCTGATATTGGGAAAGATTGACGGCAAAAGAAGAAGAGGACAGCAGAGGATGAGATGGTTAGATAGTGTCATCAATGCAATGAACATGAATTTAGGTAAATTCCACTAGGTAATGGACAACTTTCCATCTACCTGGCATGCTATACTGCTTACAAGGATTATGTGCTTAGAGCTCAAAGCATTGTTAGAGACCCCACGCAGCCACTTTATGGTCTGTTTCTGTTGCTCCCCTCTGGGAGGAGTTTTTGAAGTATTTCTAGACGGACTACCAGATTCTGTAACAGCTTCGTTCCCTATGCCATCCATTTGGTAACCTCGCAAGATTCTTTTTTCTTGCCATGTTACATGTCTACATCCTAACTAACTTGTTGTTTCTCTGTGTCATATATGTGGGCATATGCATAATTTTGTATTTATTTATACTGTCATGGTTATATAGTGTATATTGGAGGTGGTGACCCTTTGACATGCAACAAAATTTCATTTTAACGTATGCTGAATAGTGTACATTCAAAGTGACCATAAAGTTAGTCTAAGCCTATGGTCCATGGAGTCATGAATAGAATGGAATGGAATAGGATTAGGATTAGGAATAGAATAGAATTCTTTATTGGCCAAGTGTGATTGGACACACAAGAAATTTGTCTTTGGTGCATATGCTCTCAGTATACCTAAGAAAGAAGAGTTGGACATAACAAAAAAGCCACCCCAGGATTTTTATTTTGATATACATCTCTATATAATAAACAATTCTGTTTGGGTTTATCTGCGGGAACAAAGCAAAGATGCACAAGGCTCATTTTACAGATGTGAAAGTCAAGCTGGGGAATACGGATTACGGTAGAAAGCCAACATAATGAGCACAGGAGGCCAGATCTGACAAGATGAGCCAGAGAAGGTTTAAAAAAAATCCTACTGAAGGTGCAACGAAACTAGCAGAGTAGGATGTATAAAGCAGAAAGGAAGTAATTTGCTAGGATTACAGTTTCCATTGAAGTCTGTTCATACAAGAAAGGGATCTAGACAATGAATGTTCTTCCAGTCTTTTCTGTCTCTTCAAATTTACCCTTGGACCATTTAAAAACAGAGAATTTAAGTCACATCAGAAAGAGCTCATCTTAAAACACCCTTCTTATAAAAGTAACAAAAAACTTTTGATTTTTCTGGTGAATACCTTTTAGGCTTCTCTGGTGTTTCAGGAAACAATTTTGGTGTAACTCAATATGGTTTTGTTGACTGTGCGATTAATATTAACTGTTATCAAGAAGACCATTTGTATTATTGCTGCTATCTATATGATGGTGAGGTTTTATTGCTTATTAGGTTTGTTTATAAAACAGATCTATAAATAATCCAGAGAATGGAATTGTTGGCAATCAGAAATGTAATGTTATTTCTGCATAAACTGCATAAACTCCTGAATCTGAAACGATGGGCAGGATCTGCAATCTTTATGATTCCCCCAGGTTTATCCACACCAGGGGTGTCAAACTCAAGGCCCATGGGCCAGATTCCACCCATGGGGTGCTTAGATTTGGCCTGTAGTGCTGCCCTGAAAACAGCAAAGGACCAGTCTGCAGTTCCAGTGCCAGCAAAAATAGAGCTCTGGAGGGCCGTGCATGGCCCTCCCAGGCTCCATTTTGGCTGCAACAGCCTCCTGCAGTCCTCTGCCAGCAAAAACTGAGCTCAGGGAGGTCATGTGCAACCTGCCTGGGCTCCATTTTTGGCCGCAGTGGCTGCAACCCTCTGCCAGCGAAAACAGAGTTCTCCCTGAGCTCCGTTTTCACTGGCAGAGGGCTGCAGCAAGCCATTGCAGCCAAAACGGTGCCTCGATAAGTGATGTCGAGCTGATGACGACCCGCCACCCTCCAAGGTCAAACACAACCCTGACGTGGCCCTCATTGAAATCGAGTTTGACACCTCTATATGTTAAATATCACCTTAGAACCAGCACACACATGCAACAGAAAAGACACGAAGACGCACCAGTGAGACCAGTGCCCTCCTATTTCAACCATTTCCCATGAAAATAACTTCTGGGACTTCCAGAAACTGTTCCATTCCTCAACTAAATTCCTCCAGCCTGAAATAGTATGTGATCATTTTGATATAAACCACAAGATGTTGTTGTCAGGAAGAAACCAGTCATCAACAACTTGGCACTCTCTGTGCGTCTAGGACTGAAACTTCTCATCACTGAGGATCAGAGCAGAGGTGAAATGGAAATAATGGATGCTGTAATTTAAAAGCATCTTATCAGGTGCCATCTCAAAGGGAAAATGAGAATTTCAGAAAGGCCAGGGCAGGTCCCAGCACCCTTTCATTTATGGAAAATGAACGTATAACTCATCAACTTTCTCATATTCATGGGTTCGAGGCTGCTGCTAGGCAAAACCCTGACCCAGTTGTTTTCTTGAGATATATTTTGTTTAAAGGAAATACTGGTAAAACGCCAAAGATGTGTATGACTTTCTCAACTGAACTAAAACAAAAAAAAACACTATCCCAGATTGTTGAGAATCTAAGAGTTGCAAAAAAGATCATTTGTGAGTGGAACCCGATTCTAAGTGACTGGAAAGTAGGTTGTGTACATGCACTCACGCCCACACATATATAAACATTCTCAATAGGAATTGAATCAATGAGGCTATCTCAAGAATATAAGGGCAACAAGGAAATGATTAATCTAATGTTCCTTCAAGATTTCCCCATAAAGTGGGAAATTCATGGCCCTTCAGAAGCTATTCACTGAACTCCAACTCCAACTAAGGCAGGGGTCTCCAACGCCTAGTCTGCAGACTGCCACTGGTCTGCGGTCCACCAGGATCCAGGCAGCATGCGAAACCATACCTCGACAGTCCATGGAAACACCATCCTCCACAGAACCAGTCCCTGGTGCCCCAAAGATTTGGGACCATTGACCTAAGGGAAACTGAACTTAAATGTGTGTGTGTACTTTAAATGTGTATACATCTGAAGGATATCACAATGAGGAAGGCTATTATATTTGCTCTTTGGGAAGAGAACGTAATGGAGAAAACCTAAGCAAAGCGATATGTGCCCTGCCCTGTTGTCTTTGCAAAAACCAGTTAAGCAACCTGAGTCTTCCTGGATACAGTAGTCAAGTACATAACACTCTAACAATACTTGGACTGGAATGCACAGTCAGAGCTAAAGAAAAATGAAATCACTCAGAGGCAAATACAAAAGTTGTCTTTTGTGCCTTGGTATTGCCACAAAGATTATCAGAAGTGGCCATTTCTCATCTGCTTTTCCTTGATTAAAAACAGTCTTTCCAGCTGTAGTACATCATGTCTGGAAAATATCATGTTTAGAAAACTAGTGAAGCCAGTAGAAAGACATCAACCCCTACATGCTATATTACTCATTTTGGTTGTCATACTTTACTTTCCAGAGTTGAATTTTACAAAGATATTAATCATGTTGGCAGGGTTTTAGCTTGCTTCTTTCCCATTTCTTCTTTCAATTATGAAACTCCTTTAAATGATAGGATTTTATTTGAGAACAAGGTTGCAAAACTGTTTTCCACTGGTAACCTGTCAAGTTTCCACACTATTTCTTTCATGTGTTTTTTCTTATTTCAAAAGACATGTGAAAAACACACTAGCTGCACACCATTTTTTGCTCCTCAGTAGCTGTCCATTTGGAAAAGCAAAGATTTGGAAAATGTTCCTGAAGAGGTAAAAAGAGGCTGTTTATGTGAACCTCGGGAGGCTGGAAATTTCTAAAGCTTGCTTCCAAAGTCTGATATTTTTTCAAGAAAGAGAACAAACTGGACCTTAGGAAATTTGCTAAGCTGATTATGGGTAGCTAACAAAGGTCACAAAATGCAGGTTGGCATGTTTTGCAATACCTAGTATAATCTTAAGAGATAAGGGGCCAGGCACAGAGATGTCTAATTATTAGGGCTGGGAAATTTACTTAATCTATTTATGTTATAAAACCAATACAACTTTCAACCTATGCAAACTTGGCAGAATAAGTCCTGTTGAATTCTGTGGAAGGTTATTTCAGTGCAAGAATTACAGTAGAAATCCATTTTTTTTTTTAAAAAGAGGCATATATTTAATGAATATACAGACAGTCCTTCAACAGTTGATCAACATCTATAAATTAAATATAAATACATATATTTAATGCAACAAAAGCTAAAATGTCAATTTTTTAGGAACCTTTGGTGACTTCTCACCATTGTTCTGGAACCAAGATGCTATGATTAGATCCACAGTTCTCTAGACAATTTTAATTCCTTGTCATTTTTGGATACAAAATATGAAAAGTGGACTTGAACATCAGTCCCATAAAAAGTGCAAACTGAAACATATACCTATTTTGAGTCCATCTGAAAATCCTGATATTATTTTGCAATACTATCTTTAGAAGCCTATTCATGTCACTATAATGTCAGAAAGTGATGAGAAGGGATTAGACATCAATAACAAAGCATATGTTTTGCAGCCAAAAAAATCACAACCAGGCCACCCAAGCCTGGGGAGGACTTTAAACCAAAAACCATAACCAAAAGGAACAGATAATAATGGCGGAACAGGGTAAATATTGTTTTAACTCAGTTTTCTATATTCTACACATTTATATATGTATGCGTAAAATGGGTGTTGGTTCTTACCTGACACGCCATTTCTCTTTGAGCTGCGAGGATCATCCAGAGAGTGGGTGGTGCTTCAGTCTCTGCTGTTGTAGGCTGAGCTTAATTCTTGAGGAACGCTCCTCCTTCCATCACGTGACTCCATTACAGCGTTCCCCAGTTTATGCGAAGATGAGAGGAAACAGAAATTTGTGCTCTCATCTTACTAGACTTAAAGGTTCATTGGCCGAAACAAGACCCCACCAGACAGTGAAAGATAAGGGAGGGGCTGGATGATCCTCGCAGCTCAAAGAGAAATGGCGTCTCAGGTAAGAACCAACGCCTATTCTCCTTAGAGCTGCTCGGATCATCCAGAGAGTGGGACATACCAAAGCTGGGCCTGTCCTACGGGAGGGGCACCGTCTGGTCTGTAGTCCCCTCGGGTTCCCTGAGAACCCTCTGAAGAACCCTTCTACTGAAAGAAGCCTCAGTTGAGGCATACCTGTCAATCTTGTAATGCCTAATGAAGGGTGATGCCCGCTGCCCGGCAAATGTTGATTATTGGAGCCTGGGTAGCCCAGGCAAATGAAGTTGCCGTATTCCTAGTGCAGTGAGCCATGAGGAGGGCCGGAGCCTGGTATGCTTTGGCAATGGCCGCCCTTATCCAACAGCCTATGGTGGTTGGAGGGACCTTGAGCCCTTGTGACTTTGGTTGGAAGGATATAAACAGGGCCTCGGACTTACAGAAGGTCTCAGTGCGTTTAATGTAAATCTGCAAGGCACGTCTGACGTCCAGAGTGTGCCATAGTCTCTCCTTTTCATAAGTTGGCCTGGGGCAAAAATTGGGGAGGATAAGTTCTTGAGCCCTGTGGAAAACCAAATTAATCTTGGGCAAGAAGGAAGGGTCATGCCGGAGGACCACCCGGTCGGGATGGAATACGCAAAGGTCTTTCCTAACAGACAGTGCAGCGATCTCTGATATCCTACGGGCTGATGTGATCGCTACCAGGAAAACTACTTTGTAGGATAGGAACTGAAGAGAAACCTCTCTTAAGGATTCGAAGGGTGGTTTTATGAGGGAAGTAAGGACCCTTTTGAAGTCCCAGGTTGGGTACCAGTGAAGGGTCGGAGGACGTAAATTTGTGGCCCCTTTCAGAAAGGCTCGAATACGGGGATGGTGAGAGAGGGAACTGACTTCTTTACGGTAGATGACTGTAGATAAGGCTGCTACCTGACGTCTTAGTGTATTGGGGGACAGCCCCTTGCTGAGACCCTCCTGGAGAAAGTCAAGTACTTGGGCAATGGAGGGGGCAGTTGGGTCAATAAGAAGCTTGACACATCATTTACGGAAAATGGTCCAGGTGGCGTAGTAAATCCTTGTGGTTGAGGGATGCCTGGATGCTAAAATGGTATCAATGACCTTGTTAGAGAGGTTTTCCCTCTTCAAACGTTCCCGCTCAACCTCCAGACGGCTAGTTGAAGCCAAAGGGACCTTGAGACAGGGAGATTCTGTCTGCTGGGATTCTCCAGGGAGGAGCTACTATAGGCTGCGGAGGTCCGCGAACCAAGGGCGATGGGGCCAATAAGGCGCTACAAGAAGCAGTTCCGCCTTCTCGTGAAGTACCTTCTGAAGGACTATGGGCACCAGTGCCAGAGGAGGGAAAGCATAAAGGAGGCCCGTGGGCCACGGACACCGAAGGGCGTTGTGGTCCTCCGCCCCTGGGGATGGGAATCTTGAAACGAACCTTGGAAGTTGGGTATTGAGGGGGAGGCAAACAGGTCTACTACTGGTGGACCGAAAATGGATGTCACCTCCCTGAATAGAGATGGGTGGAGACTCCACTCCGACTGGTCTATGGTGGCCCTGCTCAACCAGTCTGCTTGGGTGTTGGAATACCCGAGATGTGGTCCGCCCTGAGGAAAAGAAGGTGAGACTCCGCCCACCAACAGAGGCGCTCAGCCTCCCTCATTAGGTGCAATGATTGAGTGCCCCCCTGCTTGTTGATGTGGGCTTTGGCCGTGATGTTGTCAGTGAGGATGAGAACATGGCGGCTGCGTACCTGGGGGAGGAAACTGCAGAGGGCCAGATGGATGGCACAAAGCTCCAACCAGTTTATGTTGCACAGTTTCTCTGTCACTGACCATCTGAAAGGTAGCATCGGCCGAGAACTTGGCTGCTGCCGTAATCTTGGCTATGTCCTGATGGGCTCGGACATTTGAGGCTGGGACATGTTGCTTAAGCTGGCAAAGCCAGCGAATGGATGACCCGATGAAGAAGGAGGCGGCCGTGGCCGATCTGATTGCCCAAGAATCTGACTGGTGAGCTCGGCGTAAGGCCAGCTCCGACCATTTCTCCTCCGGCCTCAGGGCCTCTAGGGGGTCGCTGAGGGTGGAAGAAGAGGCCAGACCCACGATGGGCTCATCAACCTCCGGGGTGCCCCTGGGAGGCTTTGGAGGAATCCTTAGCCTGCTTGCGCAGATGGTGGGTTTTTGATTTGGCCTTCAAAGAAGGGCCTCTGGAAGAATTGCCTTCTGCCATTTTTAGAAAATTAAGTAAGTTAAGGATCAATATGAGGTGGTTGGCGCGCCTAGAGGTCGACCTACAACAAGGCCGGGAGCCCTGGGAAATTCTTTTACGCCCCCCCCCTTTCTTATTTATTTATTTATTTTAAATTTATTGAAATGAGAAATTCTTTCTGTCTCTTATTTTCCTCTAGTCTTGTTGTTGTTGTTGTTGTTATTATTATTATTATTATTATTTATGAATCTATATTTCTATATTTTCATATATATATATATATATATATCAGAAGGAAATGAAAGGAAAAAGAGAAAGCTGGTCCAATCGACCAAGGAACGCCAGAGGCCTTAAGGCGAAAGCTAGGCCTGTACCAGACTGCCTTCCCAGGCGGGACTGGGCGGAAGTGGTGTAGTGTAAGCTGCGCCAGCTAAGGCAGGCTGCGGGAGAAGCCAACAAACGGAGCCAGAGAACTAGCCTCCAAAGCAAACAGGACAAATTCACAACTTTAATAGACTCTGAGCAAGCCTGCAGGTCCTGCTGCTTGAGTACAGGTGCACTGCAGCGATCGGAGAGATAAGTGGAAAAAACAAAATGGCGCCCAGCCACGAGGCGGCGCTTAAAATGGCAGCCACCTGCAACGTGGACTTACAGGGCCCCTCAGCAGCGGCAAGAAAAACTCCCCAGGGGCAATCCAAGGTCCCCAGGGGGAGGACAAGAAAGGAAGAGGCAAACAACCTTCGGACAGATAAGAAAAACGGCGTTCGGGGTGTATGTGGGAAACGGATCGAATCGGAGCGTTTAAATCAAATGAAATCTGTTAGGCAGAATGAAGGAAAAAAACGGCAGAAAGGCAATAAGGAAGGGGTGGCGGGGGTAGCTTGGAAAGTTTGCTAGCCTTCCCTCTGGCACCCCCTGGGGCTAGGGACAGGCTTCCCAGGGGAATTTAGACTCCAAACCAACTGCGCAAGGCTAGGAAAGAAAAATAAACCAAATATAACCTGATAAGAAGAAAGGTAACGAGTCAAAATAATGCTTTCTTGAGACGGCCAAGAGAACTTCAAAAACACTGCCTACTCTGCACGAGGCTGAGAATAAACTGGGGAACGCTGTAATGGAGTCACATGATGGAAGGAGGAGCGTTCCTCAGGAATTAAGCTCAGCCTACAACAGCAGAGACTGAAGCACCACTCACTCTCTGGATGATCCGAGCAGCTCTAAGGAGAACATGTAAATCCTAGTAGATCTGAATACACTGCTCTGGAGAAGGTATGTACTAGTGTCTAGAGGCTAAAGAAATCAACCTATACTAATGTTATGTGACTTTAATGTTCATCTTTGGTAGTACCATAAAACAGATGATTTATTCCAAGAATGACTAGATGGCATTCACTTCATTCTCAACCAGACTGACTGTACAGGTCAGTGTTTCTCAAACTTAGAAACTTGGAGATGTGTGGACTTCCAACTCCCAGAATTCCCCTTGCTGGCTAGGGAAATCTGGGAGTTGAAGTCTACACATCTTCCAATGGCCAAAGTTGAGGAAACGGTGCAGGTCATAAGCAGCAGCCCTTACAGAGCTACCCTGGAAGAGGGAAATCCAGGACAATGGGATGAAACTCACAGCAAGAATGGCTCCCTGACAGATAAGCCAAGCTAGGATGTTTATGGCAACTTGAGAAAGACAAACATACATGCAGCAGAGGGGCAGTGACCGTGTCATAGATTCTTGGACCAACAGAACATTTTATTTCTGTAAGCTATCCTGGGAGAATTCTTGCCCTTTGAGGTGGCTTAGAAACATTTAAAATCAATCGATATAGTAAGGTGTAATGAATGAATAATGAATGAAGAACTATTTTATTTATGATTTGCTTCTGTTAGAAATCAATCAATAATAACTAATTCCTGGGTGTTGCCTCTATGTGCGCATTCCTCAGAGAGGACAAAATAAAATGATGGTTGTTCAACAAAGCATCCTTGTCAGCCATCAGCTGAGGTTGCATCCTGGTCCAGGATAATTAAACGCAGCAGCTTTATTTGAGTTTCTCGACATTCCCAACATCCCACTTGGTCCAAAAGAACCACACGCCAAACCTGGAAAAATATTCATGGCCAAATCCGCGGCCTGAGCTCTTGAATCTGTAAGTATTTCTTCCAAATCTTGCATACAAGAGGAAAGGTTGTGAATAATGATGAAAGGCACCTGAATTATTGTTTTTAATTAGGTTTTTTTAAATACATGGTGAGTCATCACATTAACTGAATATAAACTGTGATTGTAGCTACATGCAGATTAAATTAAATCAGCTTCAGTCTTGATCCTGGACATTTACTTGACAGAATAACAGAGTTGGAAGGGACCCTGGAGGTCTTCTAATCTAGCCCCCTGCTTAGGCAGGAAACCTTACACCACTTCAGACAAAGGGTTATCCAACATCTTAAAAACTTCCAGTGGTGGAGCATCCACAACTTCTGGAGGCAAGTTGTTCCACTGGTTAATTGTTCCTACTGTCAGGAAATGTCTCCTTAGTTCTAGGTTAGTTCTTTGATTTGACCCTTCCTAGTCTTGGGACAGCCCTTTTTATGTACAGATGCACGAAGAGAATAAATTGGAGGTGAACTTCAAAGTTCAAATTGGAGATGAGTTCCAAAGTACAATTAACACAATTCTAAAAATCATGGTTTGGCTCCATTGTCTACAAATACAGATCGGTCTGTCGTCAGTTTCCATATCATCAGTTTTCTTCTCAAGGAAAGGTTAAAACACAAGAGTATTCACTATGATGTAGCTGCCAAGGTGCTTAAGGCAGAACGGGGTATTTTTGAAAAATTACTTTTATGTCAGTAGAAATGACACCCGGCATGGAAGAATTATCAAGCTGAGCCTTATTTTTCCTTTCAAAAAAGATGATTCAAAATAACTTGCATGCTTTCAAGCTGGTTGCCCTGGAAATTTAATGGAAGGTTAACTAAAAACTTTACAAAGAAAATATTACATTAGCCTCAACTCTATATATTTGTAATATAGCTACACCCAACACAAGCCTTACGATAAAGAGTTCCTGAAAATCCTGCATCCTATAATGACAATTCCAGGCTCAGCCTGCAGTGAACTTAGCTCTCAAGTAATTATACACTGCACATAAGTTGTGGTTATTTTCAAGATTCAACAGTGCAGAGTTCGTATCTACACAACCTTTAGCATGGCTTCCTTTTTGAGAATGTCTTAAGAGACCAGGCAAGCGGTTGATGTTCCCAAATTTTATTTTCAGGCATGAAACTGTTTCCATGATAAAGGTTGGAGAGGGAGAAAAAGAGATTAGAAATGCAATGGATGACATTTTGCTTTAGAAAATAAATCCCAAGCCATGGTAAACAGATAGGCTTTCCTTTCATCGAGGCCACTTTAAATATCAAGTTTTACATTTCATTTTTAGCTTTCCCAAGTACACAAAATTTTCACAGTGCAGGAAACTCCAAGACAGCATATCAGTCCAAATGTGTAAAAATTGCTTTCTATCCCAAAGCAAAACAAAACAGAAGCCAAACAAATATGATCAAACAAGCTGGAATTAGAATTTTCTAGTTGTCGAGCTCCTGACTCATTCCTACACCTACAATTTGCTTAAAAGCAAATTAACACTAGCTTGCCTGCTTGGTACTGAAAGGATTGGCTCCGTAGAATATAAAGCAGTAATGGAGTAATAAAGGTGTGGATTATACCACTTAATTGGTAGGAGGAGGGGGGAAATAAGCCATAAAAAAAACCCCTAAGAAACCAAGAAAGCTGGATGGCAAAATAGGGTTGTCAAGCTTTTTTATATATATATAGTCAGAGGTTATCATGCTCTTTTAGGTCTCTGATGGCACTATAACTATGGAGTTATCAGGATACTATCACCATTCTGCTAATGGATTTCCTGCTTAAAGCTGCCACCTGAAGAATGGTAGGTGACATGTTACATCCAAGAAAGAATACAGCACTTTCTCTATTAATCTTGGGCACTGTGTTTGGAATACAGCATCCAGTTTCAATCCTAGAATCACAACCAGAAAGATGATTTGGCGATGGGGAGATAACAAGTCACCTGTAAACAGGATGGGCAGCATACAAGTCTAATAAATAAAAGGCAGTAACTCCAATGCCATGAGGGGGTGGGAATATCAAGCAAATCCCACTTGTTCCCCCAAAGTCATCTTTCTCTCCTCAATTTAATCCTGACGGCACAACTCTTATATTTAAGCAGAACATCAAAGGAAAAAAGTCACTAATCCTTACCTTCAATCTCTCCTAGCATTACCCACCTTCTAACATTACCCAATACAGCAGACGGAAGAGGTAGAAGAAAGCTGATAGACACGTGATGAGCATACCATAAACCTTCTTGAATGGCATAATGCAATTATTGTACAGAGAAGGGACATTTTGGAGATTTAGTACTGTATGTTATGTACAATGCAAATATGCAAGGATCTTAAAACCCACGCTGGGAGGGAATTTGTAAGAGCTGCAGTTCCAACCCAACTTGGAGAGGCAGTACAGAATTATGAAAGCAGCAGAAACACAAATAATTTGCTACCTAATCTATGTACACCTTTGCTTGGAAGCACTTACTCCCCAAATACAGATATACAAAAATGCAGCCTTAAGAGTGAAGATTTCATACACACTCTAACTACCCAAAAGTTATACCAACTGACAAGATGTGAAATCATGATGTGGTTCCACTGGTTTGTGACTTAAAATGTCAACCCAATATGCTAACCCAGGGGTCCTTCAAACTTGACAGCTTTAAGACTTGTGGACTTCAACTCCCAGAATTCCTCCTCCAGTCATGTTAGCTCAGGAATTCTGGGAGTTGAAGTCCACAAGTTTTAAACTTGCCAAGTTTGAAGACTCTTATGCTAAAGTATGTTTTATAGATTAACCTATTGTGCAACCTAGCTCACTATAGATTATTCAGTAAACCATGGTTAAGCAAATCAAGGCTTTCACTATTATATGAATGTGGGCCCCCAAGTTCAGTGGAGCCCTCCTCAGGAAACTTCAAATAATCCCTAAAGTAATTTAGACATTGTAGCTCCAGGTAACCAAAAAAAAAACTTGTTCACAAGAATCAATCCAACAAATTGACCCTTCCATTAACATCATGTTAGTTTATACGGTTTAACTGATTCTCAACAATCAATTATGGGTGAGAAAACCTAGGCAACCCAATATGTAATGCTACAATATATTCTTCAAATAAATAAAAGTGTTGCCATAAAGCAAGGAGAACAACAATGGTGTGCTTCTCATTCTTCTATATTTGCTTCAAAAGCGTAGTCCGGATTACCTTAAGGGCTCTCCCATATAGCAGACAACCTGGCTCCTGATCCCTACCCCTAAGACTTGATTCTTTCCGTGTAGATATGGGCATTAATGCCTTTAATGGCTTGTTCTTGCATCAAACAGTTTTTAAATGCACCACAAACAGTTAAAATCAAGCTGCAGGGCTCCCCTTCCCTCCCATTATACACATGATATACCCAAGACACCACCACCACCCCCATACACACAACATAATCCTATCTGTTTCATCCTACTCAAAATGCAACTAGGCTCAGACTAAGTTATCATCTAAAAAGGTACCGACAAAGGCAGACTCCTCTGTTCTTTTGCCTCCGACTCCCCACCTCCTGAAGTAGGCCATTACGTGCTTAAAGGCAAACAGTTGAGGCTAGCAATTTATATAAGCTTTAGAGTGCTCTGGAAGATTATGGAAGGCAGCCAACAATTTGTACTTCCAATATCAAACCTTCAGCCGAGGACAAATGGAGTTGCAGATCCAAAACTTTGCAACACATAATTGGAAGTTATGAACTTCCAGTTTCTACATCTGGTTTCATGAACAATAATTTTTTCTCTCTATCTGGACTCCCCTCCCCAAGAACAGAAAATATCTACTGATTTATCAATTCCAAACTGGGGTAACTACTTTTTCCTTAATATACCTCCCCCCACCACCATTTTATTACACAACTGAAGTTTTCCAGCAGGGAAGTTAACACTTGAAACCTGCATTTGCAACTAAGGGGGGGGGGGGGGAAACTATCTTGAATCAAACAGGATTACATTCGTTTCGTGGAGGAATAGGGAAGAGAGAGCCCACGGCTTTGGATCCATGCTTATTTATTTATTTATTTGATTTGTCAATCGCATACAAGATAATAGGTATAAGTGTAAACATAGTTATGAATACATGAAATGGATACATATAAGTAAAATAAAAAGAATAGGACAGCGACAGTAGGCACCTTGGTGCGCTTATGCATGCCCCCTACAACCAGAGAACCCAGAAAAACCCAGAAAAGCTGAAAACTCTTATTTAGCTGGGTGATTTTTTCCCCAAGAGATTATTATTATTATTATTAAAAAATTTTATTGATTTTAACAACAAACAAAAC